CCTCCACCCCCCCCCCCACCCTACCCTCCCCTACTCTGGCCGGGCTTGTCCCCATCCCATCCCCGTCACGTCCTGTCCTCATCCCATCCTACCTCATCCCATCCCATCCTGCCCTAGCCCTACCCCATCCTATCCCATCCTGTTCTCAGCCCATCCTATTCCCAACCTGTCCTGACCCCATCCCATCCTGCCCTGTCCCCATCCGATCCGACTGTGTCCTGTCCTACCCTACCCTACCCTACCCTACCCTACCCTATCCCATCCCATCCCCTCCATCACATTGCATCCCATCTTGCCCTGTCCCCATACGATCCTGTCCTACCCTATCCCACTCCCATCCCACAGGAGAAAGAACTAAACTTGCCATTAATTGCAGGTGAATAAAAGTCAGGTTGGCTGTGCCTCTTTAGGTTGATAACATTAAAGTTTCTCTCAAAATCTTAAAATCTGTCATTTAAAAAATAAAAATCCCAAGATCCCACACAATGGAAATATACTCAAAACATTAAAAGCCCACCCCATCCCATCTGGCCCTCCCCCCATCCAATCCTATCCTACCCTGGCCTGTCCTGACCCCATTCCATCCCATTCCCATCCCATCCTATCCTGACCCCATCCCATACCCATCACATCCTATCCTCATCCCATCCCATCCCATCCCGCCCTAGTCCTATCCCATCCCATCCCACCCCATCCCATCCTGCCCTAGTCCTATCCCATCCTACCCTAACCTGTCTTGTTCCCATCCTATCCCATCCTGTCCTGGCCCTCGTCCTATCCTGTCTCTTTATAACTAGTCATTTAGCAGTTTTTGTTTCTGCAGTTAACTTGCCTACTTTTAACAATTATGTACAGTATTTACGTTCCTAATATTCTGAAATGAGAACAACTGATACTAAAAACTTTTTCTATTTTTAATTTCAAGCTAGAGGTTCAGGGAAATTAAAGGTCTAGAAACAATTGCATCTTTTTTCGCCAGGACTGATTCTTTCATTATCTATATTTATCTAATTAGTACAACTTTTGATAAACACTAGGTGTAGAAGCAATGGGTACCTTCTGGCATAGATACCTGAAGTTACACGTGCTCTGTTAGTTCATTACTGACTCCTAAGTATACAAGTGCTAGGGTCTAATATACATTACCAATGCCTCATTTTTTCTGAGTCTGCAAGACTCAGCAATTTAAGTACAACAGTAAACAATACCAAAACCTGAAGTTAGCTGTTCCGCTGCTGAAATGCAGCAGCACTGAGATTACCTAAAATGTCTTTAAAAAAAACAAAACAAAACAAAACATTAAAAAATGAGATAAGCTAGTCTGAATGTATTTGTATAATGTCTGGTGGTGTGTATAAGGGAGTTA